TCTGTCTTCTAAGAGGCCACTTTATTAATCACGAACTACAGAACCGCCGCTGAATATTCTTGGTCCCCTCCAAAAAACAAATTGTTATTCGCGCTTTTGGGGCTTTGTCTATAATAGTCCTTTACTCTGTGACATTTGATATTTGCGCCTCAATCGTCGAAATTGCTATAAGGCCCTCCTAAATCCTTTTAAGTTATTTGGAAATCAGCGCCTCAAATCGTTGAATTTGCTAAAAGATCCCCAAAACCCTTAAGGTACTTTTAAAAATCATCCCGTGAGATCACTGAAATCGCTATTAGGTCTCCCGGTTGTCATGAGTAGTTTCAAATGTTATGAGTAGTTTCAAATTGATCGTGAAAATTGAGGGACGTAATAGAATAATACGAGGGACCAATTTTGAAATATTACAAATTTATTTGACTAACATAAAAAAGCTCTTTTATGAAATAAATAAGTAACAGTTTATGGGTCTTCTATTTTTGTCCCCCAAGATAACATTTCTGGCTGACCCAAGTGACTTCTTTCTACTCTCAAGCAAAAAAATGAGCTCTACCTAGGCGTGCATTTAGTCCGGATACAGTACGGATATGATACTTCCCATATCCATATCTGTTTACCCATCTCGGATACGGATACGGGTATATTTGGTAAGAAAAATTCATATCTATATCCGCTAAAATCATATACGGATATGAATATACATGCAAATATATAAGCGGATATGCACGCGGATACAAAACAGATGTGAGAAAACTAGATAATATTAAAAAAAATATAGTTCATGTGATACAAAAGAGTTCATTAATATGTTCATTATATCTAAAAAGCTAAGATTAAACATCTTGATCATCAAAATTAACCTTAAATCTATAATCTAAGGATTAAAACTATCATAGCAGTATGACTAATATGTTTTCGGATATTTTGAATACGGATCGAGATGTTTTACTACAAAACCATATCCGTAACCATATCCTATCAGTTATAGATTTGAGTAAATATATTCGTATTCTAACAGATACGGTTATGCGTATTTCCTCGGATATGGCTTAGCACCCCTAGTTCTACCACTCCCAAGAATTAGGTTAGTTTAGTTTCACTTCTTCCGTTAGCCTTTTCCTAATTATAGGCTTGAAATTGTTTAACCGGCCCATTTTAACTAGGATAAATGGGCCAAAAAAGGAAGACTATGAGCCACCTAAAAACTTTGCGGCCGGTTCCATATCCATTTGTAGACATCGAATTGCTGAGAACTTTAGGTACTTCTTCGACGGCTATGATGATGAAGACAGTATAGGACTTCGTTAGAGTTTCCTAATATATTTAAACTAAAAGCAGCTTTCAAGCGATGAACTTTTCCTTCACCATTTCATGTCAATATATTTATGTGCAAATTTCACAAAACATCCCTAACCTTTTTTGGGTTTCCAGAAATCCCCGCAAGTTTTGAAAGTTCTTCAATGCACCCCTCAATTAGTGAAAAATTGAGTGTTTTCTGAAATTCACTTAACCCAAAAACAAAAGGTCGGGGGTTTATTCCATTCTGGGGGTTTAAGTGACATTTTTGAACGCTAGTAGATGATTTTATCACTTTGGTAGAGCTGAATAAAAAGGGGTTCCATCATTTGGTTTGGGTTTAGATCTTATGGGTTTATAATAAAGACTCGATCAAGAGATACTACCTATATAACTATAATAATAGTAGACCTCTCATCTGGCCTCCATCGAATCTGCGTGTAACTGCCACTAATACTAGTCTCATTACAATACAAACCAGATGCTGGCCGCCAAACAACAAAAAAGTTATATAAATGTGGCAACCTTTAAGAATCCAACCATAAAAGTGGCATAATTAAGTTAATCAGTTTAATTAGCTTAGCTTGATTACAACCTGATCAAAAATAAAGAGTCAAGGAAAAGCTAGCAGCGATCGTAGCTAAAACTACACCGGTCCTTCTCTAACTTCCCCTGTTAATCCCTTATTCACTTCGCTACTACATTGTTTCATACTGTAATTAATATTCATCTTTGTCGTCGTCGTCGTCGTCAAAATTACGATCAAGGCCACACTCATCGTCGCCTGCAGCGGCACCGTCCCCATCGTCACGGTCCTCGACAATGGAGAGAACATAAGACTGAATTATAGTTAATTAATAATTAGTAGTCGTCTTAACGGTTAAGACTTCAGAGTACTAAACCTAGAAAAGAACATAGAGTGGAGGAGAGGAGCAGAAGAGATCGAATATTTTCTGGACGCATATTATGCGTACATTACCTTACCTACCATATTATGCGTACCGGAAATACCCTCGGCCCTTTTTTACTAAAACGCCCCCGAGTGTACCAAGAAAATAGTGTGATGAGAGGATTAACCTAGACCGTCGGATCTAGGGTTTCCCACTTCGAAATACGAACCCTAATGATCCATTCGAAGACATTAATCCCTCTTCACAGTACCCCGCCCGTAGCCCGACGGTGATGAATAGGGGGGGAAAAGAATCAGAAGAGCGGAACCCAGATCAGAAGTAAGCGCTCCTTGGCTGCGCTAGGGTTTGCATCAATCCAGTTTAGAAGAAAACCCTAGTTTTGGGAGAGGAAAGCTTAGCCAGAATCTGAGTAGCGGGGGTTGGGGAATTTATGAAAGCAGACGGGGGGCGATTGGGATCAGGGTATCTAACCTTGGGATTATGATGATTTCTCAGAGGAAGCAATCATCCAAGTTGCAGTTGAGATTATTATTATTATTATGGTGATGATGATGATCCAAGATCAAGAGACCCCAAGGAGAGCAGTAGCTGCAGAAGCGTCGAGGTTGTGGACCCCAGTAGCTTCGCCCTCATCTCCTCAACAGAGACGGCAAGTCAAAAAAAAAAAAAAGCCAAGAGCTAAGGGCTCTTTTTTTGCCATTTTTCACTAGGGAGGGAATACTTCACACCTGTATATTTTAGGTTCAAGTAGCAAAACTTTTATATATTTTACCCCCTTCATTTTTTTTTTTGAATTTTTAGTGGATTCTGTTTTCTGTCTGTATAATGCCCACTTTGTCAATCATAATTACAGAACTACCACTACCGTGCGGGTAAATTTCAACCCCCCGACCCCCCCAACAAAAAGCTCGGTACATTCTCCGAAAACCTTCTGGATTTATTACCTAGAAGGGCCCTGACAATGTTAATGGGTAGATTAACACAACCTGGGGATTTTACAGGGAAATTATGTGAGTTTAAAAGGGTTTTATGAGACGCCCGCAAATTTTAGAGGGCTTTAGGGAAATCAAACGAAAAGTTTGGGAGGATTTCATGGAAAACTACCCAAAGTTTAGAGGATTTTGTGAAGTTTACCCTTATATTATCGTCTAAACTGTGGTGGTCCCCATATTTGCCTTTTAACTGCTGGATCAAATAAGAAGCCTGCTACGTTCTCCGTCAGATTTAACCCTATATCTAACTCGGAACTCAAAAGAGGGAATGACTCTTACTTTTGTCGTTAATGCGTCTGATTAGAGTGTAGTCAGTTTGCGCTTACTCTTACTTTTTCCTAGCCCAAGCCCATTAAGGCATGACCGCCAATTTCCTTCCTTTGTCCCAATGAGGCCCAGTAGGAACCCTCGCTCGCATAATTCATCATTTGATCATAGGTCGAAGCAAGAGGAGCTGATGAATTCGTTTGCGTAACTTAAACGGTAACGTTATTGTGTCCCCTTTTTACTTTATTTTTTTTACATTTTACTTAAAAATATTGAAAGATGAAATCACCTCTGTAATCTCTAAGGAATATATTATGACAACTAATATATGTACTAGCAAGTAATATATTAATTGCAGAAACATCCATGCTTATTGCACTCTGTTGATAATAACACACATTTTGTATCTTAAAAAAAAGGCCGCCTTTTATATTTACTGAATTAATTTATTCTCATGATAATTGCTAATGTTAACAACAAGGACCCCAAGGTATGTCGATAGCTAGCTATGAGAAACATCCATTTCTAGATCTAATTCATGGAGCAATCAGCAAAAATTATCATGCATGCCTAATGGTCTACATTTCCACTGCATTATTATCTACAAATTGTAACTAGCCATGTTTTTCATTTCCCAGTACTTAAATAATCATTCATAACAATTTTCTTTTTCAGTCAAATCCTCAACAATCACATATGGAATAAAATTAATAAGGAAGAAAAAGTCTATAGAAGAACTTGACAACTGTAGTCCAGCTAGCTGCTTTGGATGTCAATGTTCTCGTTTCCTTGTATGATTTCTTTCTACTACAAAGTGACAGGAGCCGACAACTTACAGCTGTAACAAGATGATGCTCATTTGAACGTATTAACTGTATTAATATGAATATCATAAATTTCACCTATTATTTCACATTTCTTTCTAGGGGGTGAAAAAAAACTGAACTCATAGGGCAAACTGGTGATATTTCAGCGCAAGGATCAGCATCAAACCTGAAGAAAACTTTAGAGATACAAGAAAAATCACCATAAAGTTGTGATGCCACGACAAAAACTGCTCCAAAACAGGGAACAGACCAATACAGGGAACTGTGAGACATAACTGAGGCCCATGCGTACACTCCTTTCTCCATTTAACATTATTCTGTCATAGATACGACTGAAATGGTAATCACCTGAGCTTGAATAAGGAAATTCTGGCTTCATTTCTAATATTTCTGAAGTTAAACACAAGCAAGAACAATGCGTAAAAAGAGCAATCACGTAAAATCAGAATTAATTAGCAACCAGCTTGACGAAAAACACAAGCAATTCCTACTCCCAGAGAGCCTAGCTGCATAAAAAATATATACTCATCGACCTACTGGTATAATCGCCCAAATTCCCAAAAATTCACGCAGCCGATCAGATCCTATCAGCTTCAGGCAACCACTGTATAAAAAAGGAAAACTGAAACTTTATACCCCCAATATACACAACGCAACGGACTTAAGAACATTATTTTTTCTATAATGTTATATGTACCACAGCAGTTTCTATATACAATAGCTTATGCATATGGGGTCTTTCACGGTATACATTTTCCCTTATGCATTTCACTTTAACCCTCCTTCCAATATCTATAAATATATAACTTCATTATGAACACATATACTACCTCTTTATGCCATCTCTTTTCTCAGATCAACGACGATAACGCTGATATTGTCTTCACTGTTCCTCGCGAGTGCAAGCCTAGTAAGCAAAGCAGCTGCAAGATCGCACTGAGACTGAGAAGGATATTCCTTCTTTTTCTCCTTTGCACTGTCGCTACTCCCTTCTATTGCTTTACCCTTGCCTTTGTCCTTGTTGTGTTCTTCATCGCCGTCTGGGTCTCCGTCCTGAAGAACACGAAGAGCTAAATTGCACGCCGTCGCATTGGACATAACATCCCACAGCCCGTCACTGGCGATCACCAAACATTCATCTTTCGGGTTTCTGTCCATGATGCGGATCTCAGGTTCAGAAATCACGACCGGTTTGAGAGACATGTCTCCTGTAAAAAGGTAGAAGTAGCGATGAAAGTTTTTTTTGTTGTTAAATATAAGTATATGAAAAAGGAAATGCATAAATGTTAAATTTCTGCACAGAGATTGCATAAATATAACGTCATGAATTTGCCAAACACTGTTCTGATAAAAAGTAGTTAAGGTTAAATTTCACAAAAAAACCCCAAAAAAACTTTAGGACATTTCCCACAACCAGCAACAACACACACACCCCATCCCCGCATGCCCCCCCACCCACCCAAAAAAAAAAAAACAAACAAACAAATCTCTGTTTATTCTAGTAAACCCCAAAACTTTTCCTAGCTTCTAATATAAGCGACTCGTTGTACTATGAGGTATCGGACATGTGAGCCATCTTTGAATTTTGTGTTCTCAACAATAGTTGCAAAGCTCCTATGCAATCGTATCGGTCTGGTCTAGACCATATGTTGAGGGGGGCAAAAAAAACTTTATCTAGATTAAAGGCCTCCCTGGCAACTAAAACATGTATTGGTTTGGAGGAACAAAACCAACTCCGGGCTTTGGTGTGAAAAACAACTAGACTCAACTTAAATTAGCTATTTGCTAGGCCAATTTTTGGCCTTAATATAGTTTAGTTCTGGACCAAGGAGAGGTGGTCTAGAATTAAACTGGTTTAGGCTAAAACTGAGGGTTGCCAAACTGACACTATTGTTCATCAAAAGACGACAAAAAGTGAAATTTCCTGGCAAACTAAAGGATAACACTTCGAAGACCTACACAGCGAAGAAACTCAAATTTGAAAAATGCAAGTGCAATAACTCACCAAAGGCTTTAAAGAGCTATCTGTTGTGCGCAGCGAAAATTTCGGCAGCACCTCTGGTGCACAACAAGAGAGTAGATCTTAACTAAATCCATGTTTTACAAAGGAAACAAGAACCGAAAGTGATATATCTCAACAAAGTGGGATATACACTCTTCCTCTCATCAGTTCTAGGACTGACTTGTCGAGGGAACCTAAACAAGCTATTACAAATCACAGCAAGATAACGAACTTTACGTGGTTCGACAAGTTGCATACGTCCACGAGACAAGGAGGGGGGAGATCTACTATTAGATAGAGAATACAAATAAGGTTTACAATCATACAAATTAAACTCTCAAACAAGCTCTCAAATCTCACATAAATATCTCCCTCAAAAGGATGCTCAAACTCTAAAAACAGCTGCACAAAACTCCTCTTCAAAACAGCAGCTATCCTCTGCGTTTTCACCAAACCCAGCCACAAAACCTTCTGCGATTTTCCCCTGCCTTGCACCAAACCCAAGAAAAAAAATCTGCGTTGGTATTTATAGGAAAAGAAAACGCATTTCGTGAACGCGTTAGTTGAAGATTTGGTGTGGCCCCCAGCCGCCAAAACACGTCTCGTGACGCGTCCCCGTGATGAAAACACGTGGGGGAGATTGTGTGCTCGTGGGTGTGGCCCCCACGCCCCCACTCATTCACACTATCCGCATTTGGCCAAGCAGAGTGACAAATGAAGAAGGGCAATGACAAAAAGGATCCTAGGCTTGAAGCAAATCAGAATGAGTTAGCGCCAGAGTGCAAAGTTTCTAATGTAGCCGGTTAAATTGAAAGAACAAGTAACAGACAACTTCAAAGGACTAAACTCTTCAAAGTTTGCATAACTTAAAAAATGAGTTTGACTTGCAATACAACAAGCTACTGTTGAGGTTCAGTTTAACTTTGGACTTGTACTAAAGATTAGCATCAACTCATAGTCGTTGCAAACCTCTTAAATATCAATACTTAGCCATAAATGCCTTAAATCTCTATCACTTTGAACAGCCTCGTTGCAAACCTCTTAAATATCAATACTTAGCCATAAATGCCTTAAATCTCTATCACTTTGAACAGCCAGTTAGAACCGACTATAAGGAGTCATGTGTTAAGTGAGGAATGTGCGTCGTAAGAAAAAAGCCAATAAGTGTGTGATGAAAAGTAAAATAAAGGAAACGTGGGGTGTTGCTGTAAAGGAAAAATAATAAAATGTTTATTACCCTACCTCATTAGTTCCGCTCCAATCATACCACACTAAATAGTAAATCGAATTAGATATGTCGCCCCTCACAGTGAGATCAACATGCTAAATAACGGTCGAAGAATGTACACACCAACTTAATTTTATATAAAACACATGTAGCTCCTTACTTGTCTAGAAAACTTTTAGAAGTCTTTCAGTCCACCGTCAATAATATTTCTTTTGATCCACTTATATGTGCTCAAATAGTTTTGGCAACTATCCTCATTCGACATTCTTAAATTTAGTTCCTCTAACCATTAGACCAAAACTCCAAAGTTATGGTGAGAATCAAGGATTATAGTTTTATATTAATTATAACATGCCCCCGCAGGTCGAGCGTCCTTTTTTATGGGTCGAAACCTGGACTCACGTAGCTGTGTTAATTTTTAGAAAATCTGTATTTAATTCGTGGTCGGTGGGATTTGAACCTGGGTTGCTCTGATACCATCTTAAATTTAGTTTCTCTAACCATTACACCAAAACTTCGAAGTTATGCTGAGGATCAAGGATTATAGTTTTATATTAATTATAACAGACATCATCCCTAATCATCTTTTTATAGTGACCAGTTCTCATGTGAACTTGAAGAATGGATAGGTGTATTGTTGGCTAATGGTTGGTGAAGCAGTACTATATCTAATCTCATGCACACACACTAAAATAAAAGAGGAAAATTCAAATTTGATTTTGCTTCTTCATATTTAAGATCTAACAATTATCAAATTAAGCTTGAAGATGACAAATTGTGTTATACCCTCGCCACTACTTTGGAGTTGTGGGGTAGATGCAAGGACCATGTACATGGTATCTAGCAACCATGGTTCGAATTTACTGTCCACAAATTCCAAAACAGATTTTAAAAAAGACATGGCTTTGCGAGTCCAGGTTTCTGACCGTGAAAGGGCCCACAAATTCCAAAACAGATTTTAAAAAAGACATGGCTTTGCGAGTCCAGGTTTCTGACCGTGAAAGGGCCCTTAACTTGCAGGAGGCATGTTAGACTATAAAATTATAATCTACAAACCTTACTACCTGAGCCTCACAATAGCTCTTGAACTCCTTGTATGTCTTCTTGATCGGATCTTAAGGCCTTGATTTTGTACCTTTTGTTTTTCGACAAACATCTTGAGCTTCTTGAAAGGTTAGAAAACTTTAAATCTTTTCACTTAAGAAATACACCTAAATCTTTCTACTAGAAGTATCTATAAAAATGTAGACCTGGTCGAGCGACAGTGTGACAATATAGTGTTGGCTCGAACTATAGAGTGATGGTGGCGCCGCAGTATGGATCTGGTCTAGTGATTCTATTGATCTGGTCTAGTGATGGTGCAACGGTGCAGTGTTGACTCAAACAGTCGAGTGGTGGTGGCGCTAGCTCGACTGGGCGGTGGCTAGCGGTGGATGAGCGTTGTTCGCGGGAAAAATTGTGTTCTTCATTGATTTCATTGTACACTCTTTAGTAATAGTTTATCGATTACAAAGATCCGGTCTTTTTATAAGATCCGGTTACAACGAGATCAAAAGAAAAAGAAAAAGTTACAATCTTCCTTGTTTGTCGAACGAATCACGAGCTCCTGTTTTGCGGTCACTCGCTTGTGGGTTCTTCGCCTGCGCCGGGGTTTATCCGTGGACCACCGCGCGATCTAGATCTGGTCGGATCTACGCAGTATGACGGGTATTATTTCGCCAAGGAAATAATAGCCGAGGGTACTATTTTGCCAAGGAAATAGTAGCCTTTAGATCTCGGGATCAAAGGCCAAGCTTTGATCCGGAGGATGACTACGTAGATCTGAGATCCGGTTCCTCTCGAACTCTTGCCTTATTTGGCGTTGACGATCGCCGAGCACCGGATCTGGAAGAGCAAGTGCTTAAAGTCCCAAAGCCTCAATCTTTCTAAGTTCCGAGCCTTGAATCCGGCAGAGCTTCGGCTCCAAAAGTTCCAACCTCTCAACAAATGAACACTCAAGGGCCTATTTATAGGCTCTCAGATCTGTGCCCGGGCACAGATCTGGCCGGCCACCTAGCCACCTATAGGTGGCTCGGTCATGGCAGCCGGCACCGTAGTTGGGGCTCGGTTTGGCCGAGTCGCCGCCTAGATGTTGTGGTTTTTACCATTTTTTCCGGTCTCGTGGTTGATTTGGAACTCTGACTTGTTGATCTGAATCGCTGATTTGGCAGTAAACGCGCACTCGGTGTTTGATCAAATCCGCTTCTATGGGTGGACGACTCGAGTTGACTTGCACCGAACTGTTAGCGTTGGATCCGCGATGCGAATGGATGTATTCTAGTTATTGTTGCGTGCGGTTTCGTTAGCGCCGGGTCGGCCGTAATTAATCCGCTTCGTTGCATGTCACTGTTGGCTGTGTGGACTGACGCTGCCGTTTGGATACGTCGCCCGATTGGTTCGTTCGGTTGTGCGCGAGCTTGTGGCTAAGGACCTATAAGCAATTTTATACCGCCTACAGGATACCTCCTCCAAAGTATTTCAGGGCTCGTTCTTTTATAGAGAGTCTGGAATACTTTGGATATGATTGTCGCCATTCTTTGATGGTACGGGACGGATATTTAGAGTGCTTCCCATTCTTTGGGTTGCTTCAGTCCGCCAGCAGTTACGGGTGGCTTTGTCGAATGTCTGTAAGTGGTTCCCGGGCTGCATTTATTGGTCTGACCGTTCTGTCGTAAGTTTTGAATTTGGAAGGTGATTCTAATTTTCTGATCTTTAGCTCGAGTTTGACATCCGTCGTCGCCGTTGAATCTCGTTACATTATTAAACGCGTTGTCCGGGCGAGTTCCAAGAGCTGGAGTATAAGGGCACAATTTAAGCTCTTAAGGAGTATTGAGGAGCGTGGCGGATACTGGCGAGTCACAGACTAATCTACCTACGGAGTTGATACATCTATGGTCGTATTTATAGAATTTTTGGGCAACCAATCTCAGCCATTCGCGCAACCAGGATGGTGTTGAATGAGCTTTAACCGCGACTAGCCGTTGAGTCGGGCTAGCATGCGGATTGTCAAGTCCGTTCGCATTGACGGTTACAGCTAAGAGTTAACACCTTTTAGTGGGCTGACGATCTTGAATACGTAAGACTATCGTCTTTCTCAACTGTGAAAAGACTAAAGCACCAACGTGTATGAGACGTTGACTAGGATTTTTGGCTATCCTCAGCTTCACGGATTGTGACGTGCCTCTTAAACCGACGTACCTGTTTGAATCGGGAGGCTTACATGCGGATTGTTTTAATCCGTTTTCCGCATGTGACGTTGTGCTAAGAGAGTTTAACGCTCTTAGCGCTACGATTATTGAATACGTAGACTTCGTCTTTCTCCTGTGAAAAGCAACTAAACAGCAACGTGATGAGAACGTTGAGCTTAGGATTTTTGGCTCACCCCCAGCCTTCAACACGGATTTGATTACCGCCTTGTACCAGATTCTACCGTTTGAAGTCGGGCTAAAGCATGCGGATTTATCTAAATCCCGTTCCGCATTGGTAACGTGTGCTAAGCAGAGTGAATTGCTCTAAGACCTGTTGGGCCTAACGACTTCGAAATACGTAGAGCTGTCGCCATTATCACGGGACTAGGCTCCCGGCGACAACCGTGT